AAATATTTTCTTTTTCGCTGGTCCTATCACTGCGTTTATTCTTTTATGATGGTCCTTCTCGGTATTGTTATTGGTCTTAGCAAATGGCTAGGAAGGACCATCATAAAAGAATAAACGCAGTGACAGGACCAGCCAAAAAGAAAATATTTTTTGAGCTTCCATATGTCGGTATCAGTACTCTCACAGTAAAAAATATTGTGTCCCAATAAAATGTATCGCAGCTCCTGTGAGAAAATTGCGCCGCAAACGAATGCGTCGCATGATTGTGTCGCCGTTACTAAGAACTTTTAGACACAGTTCTTGAGGTCATTTCAGGATCTGCTCTGTTCAAAAAATTGCTAAATTTTATGTTATACTATTTTCCGTAGGCTTCATTAGGATTTTTCTAGGCTTTTCTTCAATTTTGATGAGCTATAGGTTGTGATAATACGTAAAAGATAAGAAAACTTTTGTGCTTTTTAGATTTTTTCAATTTTAAATTGATGTTATTCGTGGATAAAGATCCCTATCTAAGTCTTTTTAACCTTTTTTCTATGTTAAACATTTTTTCTCTGACGAAAAAGAACCAATCCGAGGCCCTGACTACGCCACTAATCCCAGACGTCGAAAACTAAATATTTTGAAGACCTACTTTTTGAGGTCTACAAACGTGGGTTTCATTACTAAGCTGTGAGTTGAATTCAAGATAATACCTGAAGGCACAAGAACAATCTAAGGATTGCCAGAAAGTAAAACGTCGTAATAATCTTCATCTCTTGATGATACTTTGACTCCGAAGTTAAAACACGATATCAACGTTTTGCAGACAGACCGAGCTGAAGCCCGTCTTGATATACTCTGGCTCGGTAAGACTTGTCTGAATTTCGACGCATAATTATCTCGACTCGCTAGCATCCGGACTCAATCGGGCTCTAAAACCATTATTAGGATCTTATTTTTGTTTTAAGTCTTTTAGAAATTTATACACGATTCGGATTTCTGCGCTCCATTAGTACGTGATGTGATATCAGTTTCAACGTGTCCGGCTGTGGCTTCTGACAAAGCAGCGACCAGTGGCAAATCTTTCTCGCTATTCTATCCTAGATTTATCTTATTTGAAAGCTTAGTTACCGGACTTGCAGCTTTAAGTAGATAGGCGAAGTCTGGATGTAGCCGTTTTATATATTCATGTCCGCCATCAGCATTGGATAAACAGGCACACTATGCTGCTGTTCTGGTGATAAATGTAACGGTGCAAGTCTTTTATGCGTTCCACTACTCCTCATTATGGGTTACATCATTGTGATAAACCTCTTACTCAACAGCAGACACTCATAAACCTATTTTTGCAGCTTAACGGGATTTAATCTTTTTTTGAAACACGAACTGATAGGTTTTCCTCACAATGGTGTATTTACTTCCTTTCTTGTATAAATTTTTTCTCGAGGCCTCCGAATTGAGACCAGAATTGAGACCAAAAGTGGTCTCAATTCAGAAAGCCTTTTTTTAATAAATAGACATTGATGAGTAAGGTACGGGGATTACATCACCGGCTCTATTTGGAACAGAAAAAAGTTCACAAAGTCCCACTTCACAAACCTACGAACAGAAATCTGGCTTTGAGATGTTGCATGCACAGATGGCGGTCCTCGATAAGCGACAACGAAACTACATAAGCACTTAAGTACATGACTTCCTCTCTACTTCAATTTAGAATGTTTAGAATGATCGCCCAGAAGCCGGCGATCATTTTGTGAAGATGATACAGGTGCTGGAACGTAGATAACAGTAATAAGTTATCAACTTTTGCGTGAATCTAGCTTTCTAGTATCAAGCAGCTATGGACTTCCTAAAAACTAGAGTCAATCTAACGCAGATGTAGTTTTGTCCTAATAACTTCAAACTATCTGTTGTGATCCGCATGAAATACTTTTTTTTGTGGCTTCAGTCTTTTACTGGAAACATGAAGTATGTCCGTTCAGTTTATTCGATAGCACTTTTTGGTATACTTCTTCAGAAAATATATCAGTTTTAAACATGTCGATAGCTTCCCCTGTTTGAAATTAAATATCAAACTTTAATCTAGTTCTACACTAGCAGCTGGATTTCGGAACTTTCAAAAACTTTAACAATGTAGATCATTTTATATGTTAACGTATATTTTCGCTAACTAGAGCTTTGAACTCTCAAAGTTACGAATTGCATGGATTCGCCAACTACTAGAAGAAAAGAAACGGTAGCATGTGATACGATTAATTCGTTTTGAGAAGTGAAATCCCTGTAGTCTTGACTATTTTCGCGTTCGGAGTATTTGATGTGATCGAATAAATTTGTTTTATAATAATAATAATATCTTTCAGCATGATAACAAAGGCAAACCTGAATGTGACTTCAGCTGAATTTAGCTTTTCAAGCCAAATCGAATAGCACCTTTGTTTTGTTGTTTCCTTTCAGTGATTTTCAACAAGAAATTTGTTTTTGCTGTAAAACATTTCAAAATTTAACTGTCAAGGAACATTACTATGTCCGAAATTCACTCCCTTGTTCGGGACAAAAAAGTTTTGCTAAATCATGAATAGCACATCATTCGTCTCAGTTTTGAGCGCTGATTACGAATATCACCTTCATTTTGCTTCAAAAATGATACTTGATGGTGAAAATTTGCATTTTTTTCCGAAATTATACTGATTTTGAATAATGTCGAACTTATTGTCAAGATTTTGCCATGGTCTCAGACCTTGCAATCAATTTCTTACACGTAGATTTGTAATATTTTTTATGAGCTATCGATTACATTAAGAACAGTTTGTGATTAAAGCTTTATTTATGACGAAAAAGTGAAATACTACGAAAGTTGGCAATGATTATCGACAGTAAAGATGTGTTTTTTGTTTAAAAATCATATTTTACCGCTGTTAACCGTTTTTTTACGTATTCTTGATCAGCTCGACAAGCTCTATCCATTCATGTACACGAGAAAGATTGCTGTTTGCTTTTCCCGGCAAAGAAAAATTGTTTGGAAGTACTCAGGAAATGCAAAAGTTCTTTTATCTTTTCACCTTCAAAATGCATTTCGAATGCTTAAAAAATATGAAGAATTACATAAAATTGAATTCTCTATCGATCCACATCTAAAGAAAATAAATTTGATGAAGGACCAATTTCTATAGGATTTGGCACTGCGTCCTTTGTCAGCATATTATAAACAACTTCAATTAAGTGTTTATAATCATCTTAAATTTCGGCATTAAATGTAACTAATTAAAACTTGGTAAACTGTAAGAAGTCAATCCTCTTTTCGTTCATCAATATGCGTGTAACGAATTATCAGGATCTTAATTAGAAACCAAGACCCATATGTTGAGTGAGTAATAACGTGATTTCTTATGAATTTTGTTGATTTAAATATTTTTCTTTCTTATGTAATGATGGTGTGATGTGAGTATCACGTAGGATGATTATTATAAATAAAAATAAAAATCTATCTAGACGTACTCTACTATCTTAATGATGCAGAAACGAGTAAATGGGCATGTGTGAAAGTAGACGTGTGTTTCTCTTTTATTATAAAGAAATAAAATAGTTGTGACACGAATAAACATTTTTTTTTGTTACACCTGAATGTGAACTTTGTGGTCGTAATTAACACTGAAAAAACAATAATTAGCCATTTGATTGTCGTAGTCACGTTGAACAGTAGTAGCAAATATTTTGATTTTGTTACTGATCACAAGCCGTTAACGGAAATACGATTATTATTCTATATATATATGTACCTGTTCTCTTTCTTTTCTTTATGCGGACAAACATGTGTTCAGACACTGCCTCTGTTTTCTTATTTGTCCCTTTCTTTAATGATTACTTCGTCCAATTAAAAAAAATTGTGTGAAAAATCTTGTGTGTTTAGTTGAAAAGGAAGATGTTATATGGATGATAAATGAAAAAACATTCCTCATAGGTAACAAAGATATCAACTGTTATTCGGTATTTTACAGAAAAATTTTCTCTCATTGAAGAATCAATCTTAGAAGTTAAGTTGTGGCCTAGCATTCCAGAGAACATAAAACTTAAAAAATTATTCCTTTGTTCAACATATGTTGAATAGAGACACAGATAGTTGTATGGCTGGTGACCAGTTATCGTGTACAGTTATGGTATTCTAGATAGCTGATATTTGGATTACAATTAGGTTTAAACATTTTTTTCTTCTAAGAAATAATTAGAGCAACCATTTGTCTGCAAAATGAGGTGTTCCACAGTTCAGGACGATTGTTAATAATCGCGTTACAATAACTTTCGTCGGATGTTCTGATACCAGTTATATAACTGATGCATGTCTAGACTACACGTTTAAGAATTACTAACTTTCATACTTATTTAGAACTTTTTAACCAATATCATCTTCGACAGATCACCATAGCTATCGATAAAGCGAGAATTCGTAATCAACTATTGTCATAATTATCTAAATTATGTCATAGTTGAATTTATCAATCGGTCAATAAGTTATTTGGACAAATTATGTTTTCAAAAAAGAGTATTGATGAATTAATATACTTCGTATACTGATCAACCGTGAAAACACTATATAGAAAATGATATATACATTCATTTGTAAAATTCAACTTGCTCTTAAGGATTTAGGAAAGTTCTTCCCATGAATAAAAAGAATAACCGATGGAAAGTATAGTTCGAAAAGAAGTAGAAATCGTGTTCATTATTTTCGATATGAATAAAGGAGTCAAAAATTATATATTTTTATTACGCCCATGACTTCAATTTTGTTAAAGTAATGATTATATGATGACTGTTATGTCAATATCTATTATTATAAATAGTGATACATACTTATCTGTCTTATATGACATCTTGTATTTAAACAATAAAATATCGATAATAGTCTATTCATAAACTTATACTTGTGAAAATCTGCAAAGAAATCATGGAGAAAACAACGATATTTCTATATTCCTTTTTTAAAATAGTTGTTGATGTATAAAGTAAATGTTGAAATTTGAATTTCATATAACAACACCAACATTTTTTGGTGATGTTAGTTCGAGTTTAATTGTATATTCACGAGCTTTCATACGCAATGTTTCAATGCTACTTGATCTCCGACTTTCTTCAACTTCTATTGCTGTAAAACTTGTTTTTTTCTCTTGATTTATTAATGAATTTGTTTCTGTTTTAGTCAGAACTAAAGCTGTTGGTGGAGTTGGTATTCGTGCTGTTTTAAACTTTTTGATCGGTTCAGATGTTGTCGAATCAGATGGCGAAGCAGATCGTTTTCTTGTAAGCTTTTTAGAGATGTTCGCCGGTGGTGAAGAAGGAGAGTCTGATCTCTTTTCATCATGTTTACTGTTCGTGGGTGAATTTGATTCAGTTTTTACCAGTTTTAATGGTATAGGACTTTGTGAACGAGAAGAGCACGATGACAAAGGTTCTCGTTGTGTTGTCTGAATTTCACGTTCGCTCACAAGTGATGTTGAAGATGTTGATGATTCAGATGAAGTTGGAATGGTAGTTGTAGACGATGAAACTGCTGCAGATGCTTGAGCAGCTAAATGTTGGAGAACAGCAATGTTTGGATAAGAAAGTAGATTTGATGATTGTGCAGGCCAGTACGGAGAATAGAAATGTAATGGTAATTGAGGATGACATGCTGCTGCTGATAAGTAGGAATAGGACGAAAGTAATTCAGCTTGTGAGAAGGGTGTAATTCTTGAGAAAGGTGATGTTGCGTAAGCAGATAATTGATGACCAATAGCATTGGATGCGGCACAAATAGGATTCATTTTTCCTCTTTTTCTCTCCTTTGCTCTTCGATTTTGGAACCAGACTTGCACTCGAGCTTCTGTTAAATCAATTCGAAGAGCCAGCTCCTCCCTAAAATAGAGAAAAATCTCTCATACATCATGGATCGACATACGACATATTAGTATTGAAAAAGTTAAACTGTTGTTTGCATATGTGATTGAAGTTTCTTGTTTTCATATGAATTTAAAGTAATTATTTATCACCGCGAATCTGTATCTATGATACTCTCGAATGTTAATAGATAGAGAAGAGAACGCCTGATATAGGGTGGCATCGACTTGTATTTTTCTCTTTAACCAACGTCTAATCTGTATTAGAAATTGTTACATTTTTCTAATTTTCTTTTCAACTTTTTATTCTTTTAGACACATCACAACAACAAAAACTCAACGTGTCATTAGGTGTTTTCATTATACAGGTGTCAAAAGTGATTTATCTCTCCCTTATAATGATTTCATCTTGTTCAAAAAATTCTTTTTTAATTACTTGTTGTTGCTATTTGTCAAAACAAACACATCACATATACTATAAGAATGTGAAATCTCTCTCTTTCTCTTTCTTTCTCTCTCTCTCAATTACCTTATTCATCAAAAATGTTAACAATTGAAAACGATCAAAACATATTATTATTAGCTGTTTCTTCTTCTTGACGTTGAGTAAACGAACGAACTTTCTACAAGTGTTTAATCGAAGTTCATTATTTAATTGTTTTCTTGTGGTATTATAACGGAGAGAAAAGATTTAGTATTGAAAGGCGTATCAAACACATTATGGGGTATTAATTGTTTTCTTAGATATACATTTTGAAGATAAATGTAGATTAAAACATGTATATTTTATGTACTGAATACATCTAGATTTTTCTTATGTTTAACTAATTTGTTGAGAATCTTTTATGTATCTCCTCTATACTCGGCATCACGCTTTCAACTTGAATAAAGATGTCTGATTATCACGTAATTTTATCAAGTACGCAAGAGAAATCCTTGTTTAAATTACGAAATGAAAGAATTCGAAAACAAACTGAAACAGGGTGACGTTTACTAATTCTTGCAATATTAGATGATTACTGATAAAAGTTCTGTTGAAATGAATCTTTCCCATGAAATCACCATACCAGTAATATTGCGTGTTTATACAAGTTTTTAACCCTTAGTAGTGAACAGAGGCGTTAGCAATTGAGAAAGATATATATATATATATGAATATGAAACTTGTATAAGAAGAAACGATGCTATATGCATCTAGATGCCAAATCTTAGATGGTTATACAATAACCTCATACGTAAGTATAATGGTTTATATAATAGGTTCAATAGTTGAGAATAATTTTGAGAATTTTTCTCTTCAATATTTCAAATACTTAAGTAAACACATCAAATTGAAGAAAGCCACCTACTCGTTTAACCGTTTATTTGAATACAATGAAAAAATGATGAGAAAAAAAACGACCAGGTAGTGGATAGTTCTTTAGTTGTACACAAGTGGATACTTAACGTGAACAATTTTTCCTTCTCTCATTTTAATTCTTAATCAACGATAAGTATCGAACCGTACAATAACATTGTAAATTTTTTTATTTACTTTGAAAGCAGTTTACTACACATAATTTTTTCTCATAGTGTGTTAAAGACAAATGAAAAACGAAGTAATAAATTTTTTTTTTAAATGTAAACGGATAACTGTCAAATGCAAAAAAAAGAATTATGTCTATAAAATAAAATTAATTTTGCTACACTTTTCTTCTTCTTATTTCGTTAGCAAATCGATATGTAAAAACACTTTATCTGTTAGACAGAAAAAAGATTATTTTTCTTAAACGGCTTCATTTAATGTTGTGCTTTATTTACATGGTTATAAAAATAATTTCGAAGTAAATATGCCTAAAGACACTCGATTAAAATTATTTATATAACTATTTGTTATTTAATCAAACTTTTGTTGTCAATCTAAGACGAAGAAGATTTAGAATGTAATAGATGATGCTAGTAACTTCTTCATAATTTCAAAAGTTCTTCGGGTTTATCTGATCATCTACCAATCAAATATTAGATACAATAAATTGTATTCATGTATAAGACGTCTCATTTAGCTTTACAGCTAACGAAATATCAAATTCAAAACTCTTTCGGATATATATTAAAAAGAGATTTAACGCTTGAATTGAATGTCTAATGTGTGTGCATACAAAACTTTAGCAAAAAATTAAAAGTAAAATTTCAATGCGAAATAAACTTTGATACTTTAACTATCTGTTAGAATTGGAAATTTCTTTTTAAGATATCAATTTGATCCGAAAACACTTATTCTAAAGCCCATTATATTATCGAAAGGAAATATTAACCAATCATCTCAATCCCAGAATAATTTTAAATAAAATTACAGTGTGATATTCTGGTTGAAAAATTATAGAACTTGTAGCGAATATACTCAAGGAAAAAATTATTTTTCGTAATAGTAAATATCGTTACAAAAATCCTGCTACGAAAGTGAGTTTCCCTTTGTATTTCCTTTACAAATTCAATCAAACTTTGTGTGAATATTCATCCACTAATCAGTGTATCGATGATATTAGGCTTAAATAGCGCCATGTTTTCTTTCTCTACGTATGCGTTGTCCGAATAATCTTATTTCTTCGTATAATCTTGAGTTTCCTCAACTGTCAATATATTGTCCTTTACAAACAATAACATATTCGGCATCAGTTCATTAAAGTGCATGAAACTATAAAAAAATTTTTAGGTAGAAATGCTTGACTTTAACTGCTTGTCCCGCCCGCATGCAAAGATGATTTTTAAAAAAAAGAAAAGAATATTTTCGGAGAATTTTTGGTTTCTCAAATTTTATTACGATTAAGAAACGGCAACTACCAATGAAAAAAAGATTAATTCGCCAAACACATCTGATATTCGTCTGTAATATAAAAAACGTGCACACACGGTAAATTGGTGAGTTCAATGAGAGAAAACATGAGGAGAACTAAGTTTATATTAGCTCAAGATAGATAAACACTAATTGAATCTGGTAGTAGCTGTGTTAAAAAAAGATAGAAACACAGCACATAAAAACGAAGGAATGATTCGCAGAAATGAAAGTACAAATTTTTTATTCTGTATGATTTCTTTTTTGCAAAAATTTTAAAAGAAGCGTGTCAATTATATTCAGTGTTGAAATAAAGACGTTCATTGGGAAGAACGATGTCTCTTGATCGCTTCTAAATATCCGTCGTTCAACGAATATTTGTCACTTTCAATCGATTGAAAATAAAAATTTCTTACTTATGGCTAGACAATTCATATGTAGTCGGTATTTTCCTGACAAATCTAACAACAGAAGATTTACGGAAAGACTTGTGTTCAAGTGTGAATAAACGATGTCTCCAGCAAAGGCGTAGAGATTATAATCAAGAATAAAAAAATCAGAATACTTAGAAAAGATAGTTTTAAATCATTCAGCCGTTCTATTTCACTTCACTTACCTAAGAAATACATCGGGATAATGTGTTCGTTGAAAACATTTCTCTAATTCTTCTAATTGAAATGATGTAAATGTTGTTCTAAAAAGCCAAGAGTTATCATTCAAAAATATTTTTCTTTACTGAAATTACTAACCTGTATCGTCGTTGTTTTCGTTTATGATTCTCATCGTCACTATAACCACTTAGACTATCACCACTTTCATCTTTTCCATTATCTCCACCACTACTGTTTTGATTCATTAATGTTCTCTCTTTAGGACTAACTGATCGTCGTGAATAATTTGTTATTAATAGCTTTGCACCATGATTCCAATTCTCTTCATTATGTGAATTCATTGTTAATGGTGTTATTTCTGTCATTTCAATTTAAATTCATATCTATTTTTATAATATGTTTCAAACTTTGATTTGTTAATTATTAATATATAGAGGCGATTGGCTTCATATTAAAAAAAAACAATAATTTATTTCTTATAATATTTTTATGATGTGAAAATTTCGACTTTTTATATTTGACAAATGATTGGTGAAAAGAAAAGAAAAAAACATTTTTTCTTCTCATTGGTGTGTTGTTTTTCTTTTCTTTTTTTATCGATAAAAGAATGAAATGATCGGTAGTCAAATAAATTAGTGTCGCAATTGTTTACATGGCTCAGCGATTAAACATATACCATGCGAATATTGATGAATGAATGAAAGAAAAACATAACATTATTAATATCTTTTTCTTTTTGAGTTTTATGTTCATCGACTGGCCAATTACAGACTTGTAGTCAAATAACTTTTTCTATGATCGGAAATAATTAGGATATGTAGCCGTAATCTTCAAGACGAAAAGAATAATCATTTGATTCTATTTATAAAGGTAGATTTAGACAATAATTGAGTCGACCATCCTCATTCAAACATTTTTCAAACTTGTGATATTTTTATTCTTCTAATTCATATACTTGTATTACTTGTAAAGAAATAGTTTGACTTTTTTTTTTGTTCTTTATTCAACGTAAGAACAGGAAAATAAATTCGTTAAAATGAGATCATTTAATTTTCGATTTTAGAGACATTCGAGGCACATTATAATAGAAATAATAGTTTCTCAATCTTTTTAATTGTAGGAAAAACGTCTGTCGTACCACTATTACCATGAAGGAGAGGGTTTACTCTCGATTCATCCTTAATTGCTCCCTTTCTCAATTCGTCCCACAAATTTTTTTCTCACTTCATCCCAAATAATTCATCCGACTTTTTTTAGTCTGAATTTGTCCCATCTTTTAAATACTTATTCTGCATAGGTTCTCTTATGTTTACCTTAACTTCCAGAAATGGAAACAAAAAAAATATTATTAATACATTGTCTTTATTCCATATGAATTTTTATGGCCCTTCTGCATTTTATGGCTTATTCTAGATTTGTTAACTCCCGTTTTTCATGAGTGTCAAGTCGGCTTTTCAGTTTTTAATCAATTTCATTGTAAATCTTTGCTGTATCAAATATGATTTTACTCTTATCTTGTGTACATGACGGTTGTGTTTCATCTTTCATGATGACTAAATCTTGTGAACATAACAAAATGACACTTGTACAATTACGATCTCTGCATCTCCACTGATTACTCTTCTTATTACTTCGTTTTTTTGTAAACTGATAACCATTTAAATTCAGCACAGGTTTACTTTTTTCGGTTTCTGTGAAACTTAACATTGCAAACGTCACTCACACGACAACTTTTGGTCGAATGTAAATTTCTATTGTCTGCGCTAGACACGTTTCCGTACGCATTTCTATTTATTTTATTCGGACCAACATGGACGAAACTCTTGTTATTTTGAAGAATACAAAGAGAACTTATGTAGAATAAGTATTTAAAAACTGGGACGAATTGAGATTAAAAAAGGTAGGACGAATTATTTGGGATGAACCGAGAAAAACTTTTGTGGGACGAAGTGAGAGAGAGCAATTAGGGACGAACGGAGAGAACACGAATGAGAAAGCTTTAATATAAAGTGTATTTTAAAAAACGCTCGAGATACTATGATGATCGGTACACTGGAACAGAAGTCTCTCATACTATTAATACTTCTCATGAGGATTTATGAACAAGTAATTTTTGAGACTCTAGAACCGGCTAACATTCAAGATTATTGCGATTAGCGGAGATCTTGAGAGTGATCTAGCTCAATAAGTCGAAAGTTTCTGTTTTTTCACAGAAGAAGAAAAAGCAAAAGGCTTTCATGTGACCTCTGCAATTGGTCAGAAGTCCATTTAACTCCATCGAAAAAGTCTAACAATCGCGACATTCGTACTAACATTTGCCAACTTAAATTATTGTATAGATGTTATGTTTGAGTCCGATATCAAAATGCAGTTAGGTTTATGATAGATGTAAAATAATTTTAAAAAGCTAAAGGTTTAAAATCAATCGATTTCTTAGTGGAAACAGTTATTTTAAGGAATCGCTGTATTACTTATTATTATTAAGCTACTTTGTCTTCATAGTAAACTTTTATATAATTTAATTTAATAGGACTTATCTAGACGTTTCGATTACAGTAAAGAAGAATTGATTTATTAATTTCGATCATAGTATGATTTTTGATAAAAAGAGTTGGAGTAGACGAAAAAGACTAGAAGCAGTGTATACCATAGCAAATTTAGATTATAATTAATGTCAACCAATAAATCTGCAATGAAAATTCACCATAAAAAACGTGGGTTAAACTAAAATCAGGAAAATGGTTTTATTCAGAAAATGAAATTGAGGATTTTTTGTATAAGGACTACAGAAATCATACAATGAGATATAAATGATAGATACGAGTTTAGGAAATACAGTAGAAAGGATTACAAGGAAGAGATGACTTTCGTAGATTCTCAAACGATTTCTTATGTATATATTTTTATATATTATATATTTTATATATCTTCTAACTTTAGTTCTATTTTGGTCATACAGTTTAATGTCTAAATCTAGCTAGGCTTGACTGAAATAGAAAATACTAAACTTCTTTCCTTGTCTTTCTCATCATCTTTAAACAGCTTTTATTCCAGTAAAAAGGTGAAAAGATGAAAGAGTAGGAGAAAATATATAGATAAAGGATAAAAAGGATTTATCATAATACAGTTTTTAACATCTACTGGAGCTTTTCCTGAAGAAGATTGTACGTGCAATCGAAACGTCTAGATAAGTGTTGTTATAATAAATAAAAGTAGTTCAACAATAATTAGTAATAAGGTTTTCCGATTTTGTTTTTAATCAAACCCTATTTTAACCTTAATGATAATACTATATTCTTAAAATATCTAAGTTTTGCCTTCCCTTTGTTCTTCAACTAAAATTCTATCAGTGCTCTCTCTTCAAAAGTTTAAAAAAACATCACTTCACTTTCATAAAATTGCATAAGAACAATATTAGTGTATGAGTTACCTACGAACTACCAACTTTGATCAAGCGTTCCAATTTTATGATGATTACGTCGATTGGTCGTTATTAAAATAACATCATTTATTTTTATTTTATTCATCACTAACCGCTCGTATATTTGTCTATAAATATTTCGATCGATACCTTTCTTGATGACCACACATCGTCTTTTACTTTTATCAAGGAATTATCATTACATAGTAAAACTTATTAATTGTCGACTCTCAAACAAACACACACACATCACATAAAATTTTTGTCTTTTAATCGAATAACTGGACAAAAACATGATTAAGACTGTTATATCTAATCGTACTTAACACTAAGTTACTCACAGAAGTAGATAATACACATAATCGAACTCGAAGATGTTTAAAAGCTAAACACATAGACAGTCTGCACGTGCACACATAACCAAAATACTTTTCATCACGTTCTATAACTTCAAGTGCAATACAAAAATCAATGATATTTTTCACACTGACAATGCCGATAAAAATTCAGAAAAAATACTTTTCTTTAAAGTTTCAAAGTTCAATGTTAAGAATATGTAAGTTACATTCAACATACTATCCTAACATATGATAGATTTATTTCTCTTATTATCTTATTGTAATTTGATTTTTAAGATCGATTCTATTAAATTTGTATCATGACAATATCCATGTCCTCATTCCCTAGCGAGCTTTTCAGGGAAAGTTGACTAGGGACTGTGTTTAAAACATTTATAAATTAGGATCGTACGTTACTCGTTGAATATTTCGGGTGACTGTAACAAAAGTGTTTTTATCTGAAGGGTTAACGTTACTTCTTACGAACGTAGAGGTTGATATTCTTCTCAGTTATCCACGGCATTGTTATTATATAAACTCGTTGAAGACCCACTATTATCCATTTCAAACTCAGTGACGGCGGATGTCTTTTGATAGGAAGAAAATCTGCGATTTTATCATTGCATAACCACGACTTAAGATAACGGTATAAACGTACGGAACGTTCAGCTACATCTGTTATTTCCACACTTTAGCTCATCATATCCCTTCACGATAAGAAGAAGAACGGAGCAACCTATCATAGCTTTGTGAAGGCTTCATGAAGCGACTCAGATACAATTTCGAATTATTAAACAAAAAAAACAACTTATGCAACAGGAACAACATCGCGTCGTTCAATTGATAATATTTTCCTTCTGTATGTTTGTTTTATTCGTGCTGCATCAATTCGTCTGTCATGATTCCACTGTTTTATTTTCCAGATTTTACTCACTTTTCTTTACTACGGAGCTCGTCTTTGTAACTAACTGACTAATAATAATTACAACCTTTTAACTGTTCTCTATTCTGTTGCGCATACAACACATTATCTTTGACTACAATGACCCGAAGAGAAAGCCGGAAAGTCATGGTGGAAAAAAAGAGTTCGTCTAATCACTAAATATGAAGGAAGAAACTGCTTTTTTACATTTTAATCAGCGGTATTGACAGTCACCTATTTCAAAAATTAGATCAATGTAATGTACAACAGATGTACTTTAAGCTTGTACGATTTATACAGATGGATATACTTTCTAATTAAGTTAGTTGTAGTTGGCAAATTCGACAGAATATAGAGTAAATTCACAGATTGAACCGCTTGCTCATTATTCTCTTTTCTTACGCTTACATTTTACCCGCCTCATAACTCAAAAACTAAACGGTACCTTTTTCTAAAAAATAGCATGGTATAGGGTACAAGTTGTGTATCACAAACTGGCAGAAAAACTGAAGACGGGTCCCTTCAAATTTGTTAACTTTTTAACCCTTTGACGGCCGGTGGTACATATATGTACCACCTGTTTTCAGGAGAGCATAACTTTTGATAGAAAGCAGCTAGGAGCTTCGATTTCCGCCATGCGAAAGAAGAGACTTGGAAATATGTTTTCCCGAGTAAAATAAGTTT